TGATGCTGCCTGGCCTGCTGTGTTTATCCAGCTCTACACCTTGTTATCTCAGACTCCAGCACCGGCAGTTCCTACTATCTCTATCAATTTTCATAGTTGTTCGAACCCAGAGGGAGTTTCATCAGCTGCCCATGCTAAACTTGGCTCTGTAAAGAAGTGCCACTGGCAAACAGAAATCAGCCGCACATGGAGACAAAGGTGAAGTCAGCCGGACGTTCGCCGAACACTTGGGTAATTCTTAGCCTATTACCTAAGAAAACGGATATCACATCGCACCGGCCTGTTGCTTCCCTTGTCCGATTTAAACACGATAGCAGGACAGTCTGCACTGCATGATCTGTGGCGAATAAAAGAATCAGTTCTGAACTGTCACAAACGGTTTTCGGGGAGATGGAGAGAATGGTCTCTGGTTCTTCAACACCAATAAGTCTACTTATTTCTGTTTCTCTCTAGCTTCACCATATGCAATTTAATGAAAACGCATTTCAGGGATAGCGCACAGTTACCGTGGCTAAATGGAGTTTTAACTTAGATTATATTCTTAAAATATGTCGATCTGGTGAACCCTTCACAACTCTCAAAGTCTCCCGGGTGAGAACCTCTAGTGTAACATTTATATTCGCGTCACCACAGAACATCATACCAAGATCACAGTCCACAATGCGATCGTTTAATTACATGACAAAGTAGCGCAAATCGGAATATTACAACAAGAGAACAATTTCCATTAATTAACATAAACAATAACTGTCCATAGGAAGGGCATATTTGTGAATACTAATAATTCAATAATGTAAGTCACTAAAATGTAAGTCACTACTGCACTGTACAAGGAGTCACCGATCACAGTGCTAATACATTTCAAATAATGTAAGCAGGAGAAAATGGTTAAACATGACTGATAGTGAAAAAAAGTCGAATAAACATACAGAAAAAAAACATTGCTATTGTAGCAGCTGCGCTACACATTGGCAACAAACACAAGTGTTTAGATGGAGATGTAAGTTAAACAGGACCATACAGCTCAAGACTGAGCAAATGAAAAACATGAAATTTGAACTGTGAAATGTGAGGATATACATTGTGGTAGGAAGAATACGGACAAGATACATATGCTAAATGACAAAACCTTCGCCTAAGAGCAGCAGAGAAACTTTCGAGTTCATCGAAACAATAAATGGATTTTTGGGGGAAAAAGAAACTAGTAAACAGGACATCAGAGGTAATAGTCTCTGAATTATTACCAATACCATAGGCTAGGGGGTCTAGAAATAGGAGGATACAGCAGCTTGGAAAAATAGAGTAAAAGAAGGGTAGTGTCAGATTACTGTGACGTGAAAACTAGCTCTGGGGAAGATGAGATTTCCATATGTCAGATTGGTTGTATGTGAACATCATCAAAATGTTAAGTTGAGAATGCAAGTAAGAACCAGATTGAATGCAGAAACAGAAGTGCAAAAATAAATAAGATGACCAATTAGAAACAATAAGAAATGACTGGCTAATAACATAAAGGGAATTCAGAAGTATTCTATGGAGATATAAGATATAAAAAGAGATACAAGGTCAGTTGTCAACCAAGAAATTCACGGAGGTAGAGGGCATGGGTAAGGTATTAAAGGACTACTTTGCAACTGTCATTACCCAAGAAGAAAATGCTGCTAGGCATTGTGAAAGAGAATATATTTGAGACACCATGGGCCAAAAATTGATAAATGGGAGGTATTGTGTATTGGCTGCATTAAGTTGATAAGGTACCAGAACCAGGGCAGATTTGTCTGTGGGTATGGAGGGAAGTAAGGGTGCAAATTGACTATAATCTTCCAATCTTCCTTACATACAAGGATACTGTCAAAGGAGAGGGGACTTGCAAATGTAGTTCAAGAGCCATAGAAAAATAATACCAACACTACTGACTAGTCAGTTTAATTTCTGGAGGGTGGGAAGGAATTTAGAAATGATATTCCAAGATAAAATTAACAGAGGACACAGATGCTGGTGGAATAAACAGACATATGGCAAAGGAAAGTTAATGCCAAGAAGTGTGAAGAGACACATGTAGGGAGTCTGAATGATGAAAAACAATACAAGACACAAGGTACAATTCCAAAGATAATCAATTACTTAAATTGCACACTAAATATATTTGTTGAGACAAGAAAGATTTTATGATCCATGCAGCCCTAATCTCTATCTTCATGAAGTCTTATTTTATTAATGAGATACATTCATGGATTTTGAACAAAAAGAGAGGAAATTGCATAGGTACTGGCCATAATCTTGTGGTCTGCTGTGGATTTGTGGGTGGGCCACAGGACTGGAAAATTGCAGATGTTATGCCCTTGTTCAAAAAGATTATATTGATGAGTGTATTAATTACAAATCAGTCTGTTTGTTCAAAAAGGGAAGGAGGCAGAAAGCAGGAAAGTACAGGCTCGTTAGCTTGAAATCTGCCACAGGGAAAATGTTTGAAGCTACTATTAAAGACATCATAGCAGGGCAGTTGGATGAGTTCAAGATAATCAGGCAGAGCCAATAGGGTTTTCTAAAAGGGAAATCATATTCAACTAATTTATTGGAGTTCTTTGAAGAACTTATGCTTTAGAAAAAGAGGAATCAGTGAACAATTTCAAGAATGCATTTGATAAGGTGCTACATCAAGGATTATTGCAGAAAATGAAAGCTCATGATGTAGGTGTTAACATTGGCATGAATTGAAAATTATCTAAAAGGAAGCAAAGACTACGAATATGTGGATCTTTTTCAGATTACAGTTCAGGGAAAATGTGAATGCAGTGCTAAATAGATCTACCATAATGGTTTGGGGGAATGAAAAGCTTTAGTATGTAGGGAAAAGTGGTACATTTTTCATGGAGAAAAGACAACTAAGAGGACATTTGACTGAAGTTTTTAAAATCATGGAAGTCTGAACAGAGAACGGGTTAAACTGTTCCTGTTCATAAAATGATCAAGAGCAGATGTGCATGAATTTTAAAATATGTGAGAAAATCAAACTTTTTTCATACAGCCAACGGTTGGGGTATGGAATGCACTGCCTGGAAGTGTGGTGGAAGTAAGTTCAAATGAGGAATTCAAGAAGTTATGAGATGATCATTTCAATAGAAATAATGTGCGATGGTTCTGGAGAAAGAACGAGAGAATGACACTAAGTCATAATGCTCAATTGAAGGGTGGTTGGTTCGAACGTTTTTCTGCTGTATCTAAATTTATGTGAAAATTGCTTTGGACAGTAAAACTCAAACTGTCGAGTAGGTGGATGTGTTAAAATTAAATTTATGTAAGAAAAGACGTTAAGACAAAAATTTGGCTATTTTGTGCCTCGTTTAATCCTTAAATTTAATGGATTACGGAGGTTGGCTATCATTCCGTTCACCAAAAGACCCAGACTTCGAATTGAGCCGTTATTAATTTAACTTCCCGCAATTTCAGGCGCAATATTTTTCCCTAATTGAAGGGAACTCACCAACACGTCCACTCTAGTTTACAATTTCGCATGCATAAATTTAGCGTAGAATCTAGGTTATAGGCAGCGAGATGTAAGCAGTGCTGCGCTTGAATTATCAAAACAGTGAATCAGCTACGGGCTGCATCAGTACACTGGTCTGCCTCATCCAATCCGCTATGCCCACTGTGTCGCACTCCGATTAGAAATGCAGGAATACATGGGAAATTTGGCATAAACCAGACTGCAAAATTTCCAGCGCACGTTGACGATTTCGCTTCGGAGGAAGATCTGGGGCCAATGGACATCAACTGCCACAATTTGTTTCAAATACATGAATCTGGAAAGCTAACTTCTATTGGAATCTATTTAACCTTACCTGCCTCTTTAACAAAGATATGACCTATTTTCTTTCCAACTCGTCGTTTAAGATTCTACGGTATAAGATTCCTATTGCACAGATAGAAGAACAAAGGCAATTTCAAGGATCTCTGCTGCTTGTTATTGTTGGTTTAAAATCAATCCATTGAGTTCGCCAACTGGCATGAACCTGGAGTTTTAGCTTCATAATGTTGAAACGTGGTTTGCTGAATGCGGGAAAGCTCCATGGTAGGAAACAGAGTGTGAAGGTCGAGGGATTTCATCTGGTTTGAGTGGCCCTAGGCAGCTGCACAAAGGATATGTTACGATGCATAACAGAGATTAGAGATTGTTGCGTCAAAAATAGCGCCGCCAGGGTCATACACTCGCTGCTCAATATTGATTAAAAAGATCGGTCTCAAAGTTAAGGGAAAAGCCAGGAACATGTTGAGTTTAAAAGCAATTTTTGCAAATACTATAACAGTAAAGCTACCTTT